TATTCCTCTACCTATAATCACTTTACTAGATAGAGTGATTTACCAGAGAAAATTGCAGGGAAATGGCCAGTTAATTCTCTTCGCTACATATGGTTAGCAAGTAGCACATCAACAAAATTACCCAATATGGTACGCTATTTCCAAAATAATGCTTCATTTAAAGAAAAAAGGCATTTGAATTAGTTTGTTCTCAAGGAGTTATTATTTTTATATGAGTTCTATTGTTATTTATACTTTCATTACGATAACACTTAAGGACTCTCAATATTGCTGATTGTACCAGATAGAAAAATTAAGACAAAGCTAAATTCAACCAATAGTGATTTTGCCCATGTAGAATTTAAGTACCTATATGGCCCACAGCAAATAGACACTCATGGTACAAACCATGAGTGAAAATCCATGTGAATTTATTAATCTTCAAGTAAGGCATTTAGTCTGAGCTAATTACCTAAGCTTTCTTTTTAATCAGTAGGAAGATACAGGCACCTTAAGTTTTTTCTTAAGACTGGTATAAAGAACTTTTGGAAGGAATACTCATGACCTCTTTCCACACACTAGAAAGCCTTAAAACCTAGTTTAGACTACATTTATACAAAAGTAATAGTTACATGAAATAAATTCCACCCTGTTGGTTGTCTGTATGCTCTCAGCATGAAATATGGAAAAAATACCTTTTTGTAATAAACAAACATGAAGATTTCAATTAATATGATGTACTCTCCAAATCTTACTGGTGTAATGATTTCTTATTCTGTGAGTAGTAATTCCTACTAGAAATCTAAGAACTAGGGACAATTCCTCAGGAGTATCAGTAGCGAGATTTTCCTCCAAGGGATTAATTTAGGTATTTTTCCTTTCCAGACTGTATAGCAATATGATGAATATTCTATCTTAAATATTTTATTCTTTCATTACTCTAAAACAAAAGAGACAAGAGTGTCAATCCAAGAGCAATGATTATTTTATATGAATATTGGTAATTCTCTAATTGAACTCAGCTACAGCCAACATGTGTTTAGGTTGCAGTCACAAATCTGATTGAAAAAATAAACTTTATTTTGACATAGTTCAAAAATAACAGAATTTATTCAAGCAGGATATCAAGAAGCTCTTGTCAGAGGCGACCAGACAAGAGACTATGAGCTCAGCCCATCTACTCCCTGCCCACTTTCCTACAAGTGACACACACAAGGCAACAAAACAGCCTGGTACTTGCAGGTGATCACTAGATCCCGCTACTTTCCTTCATGGAGGCCCTTGTCACAGAAGAAAAAACACTTCAGTTCCTGATACATGGTAAGAAAGAGTCTGTTGCTGTCCATGGGCACTGTTCAGCAAGTCACATGGACAGTGAACATTTCGGTCATGACAGCACTCATGTACAAGTATCTTCCATGTTCTCCTGACTCCCACCACACCACGGGAAATTCATCCATTCCAATCACAGAACAGTGATGCAAATGTTTGTTCTGTCAGATAAGAGGTGGGAGAAGAGGAGGCAGGTTGTTTTGACAGCGGAGGGGCACTCCAGGGGATGCCTCTGAGGACAGACCAGGAGCTGCTCTGTGCTGAACATCATCAGTTCTGACCAGCTCTGCAATGGAGAGACTGCTGATCACAGATGAGCCCATAGGGAAACAAATTTAAGAAATGACAGAAATACTGGAGGGGGGAGGAACGGAGAGAGAAGGCTGTGAGAAGCAGTGGGAGAGGAAGAAGAAGAAGAAAGAACAAAAAGGCCAGAGCAGTAGGAAGTGTCTCACACTGGATCAGGAACGTGCCCAAAGGCACTGTGGTCTGTAGACCAACAACAAGTAGCATAAGGAGACTGCCAAGCAGAGCCTGGTGTGCCACCCAGTGCCTCCCTGAAGGGACTGTGCACAACCTGCAGCAGTAACACAGGACATGTCTGGAGTGAAGGTGTGGAGAGCAGGAAAGTGAAAGAGAGGAATCTGAAGATGAACCTGGGAGAGTGGGAAGAAAAATGTTTTTCCTGTAAAATTAAATGTTTGTCCTTTTTTTGATTGTTTTGTTTCCCAATACTCCAACTAATTAAATATTTATGCTACCTATCAATAAATTAACTTGTATTCCCCAAGTGGTTTTGCCTATTACAGGGATTTTCCTGTCATTTCACCACCAGTTTTTTCACTTGCATCCCTACTAATTTTTCCCCATATCCCTGGGGAAGAAAGGCAGGGAGTGAGCAGCTGTGTGAGTTCTTGGCTGTTAGCCAGGACCAACCCACCACATTTAAAATGAAAAGGAATAAATGGATCCAATGGCAAATTACTTTTATTGATTACCAGGAGTCAAAAATTTCTTTGCTGTTACTGAATCCATCTAGATCTAAAAGTAAACTTTTTACCAAGGAGAGAAATGGCAAAGCTTATAAAGCAAAAAAAATTCATTTGAGACCAACTGGCTTATGATGTTGCTGCTATAAGCAGGAGGTTCACAGGACATAAACAAACATCTTCTTCTTCCTCTTCTTCCTCTTAATTTGCATGGGTAAGAGACATTAAAAATAGACAAGTAGTGGCTTATTAAAGACCAAGCTCCTTCCCTGCAGTTTCTAAAACCGGAAAATCTGGTTGATGTTACTTTTGTGCTACAACTAATATCCATGGAATGTTGTCCTCATTCTGCAAATAGTTATGAATGAAACTGTTTGGAATTTTTTTTGACAAAAGTCATTCTAGAAGGAAAAAAAGGTGGGTTTAAACCAAAAAAAAAAAAGTCTTTTCTTTTTTAAATGAGGCAATTTAAAAGAGAAATTACTCTCACTTACTTTTAAACACGAAAAATGGTCTGTTTAGCACTTACAAGGAGAAAGCAAACCACAAACCATTTTTTTGTTCTTTTAGGCTGGGAGATATTTCTACTGCATTATTTTGACTTGAGTTAAAAGATTAACTCTCAAATTACCCAATTTTTAGCATCTAATACAAAATTAAAACAAACATAATAGCTTTATCCATTTGCCATTTCCATTTTCCCCTCAAATAACATAATGAAAAAAGAGCTTTAGAAAAGGGGAGAGGAAGATATTTTATAATTTTATAACCACCTTTAATGATGAGATACTCCACTAGCATTATTCACTAAAAATAAAAGTACAAAACAGCTTAAAAATAAAATACAATCACTGCAAAACAAAATTGAAAACAACACATAAGGATCATGAAATTAGGAGGTCTTACAAACCAGGAAAATGTTTACCCTAGAAAGAACATTTATACAATTAAGAAAAGAAAGATGATGAGCTGCATAGTGGCTTTTTAGCAGTCTGATTGCAAAATACATAGATCAAGAGTCTGCTAAAAAATGTGGCAGACAAAAGGCAAAGACATTTACCAAACAAGACATATACAAATTAACCAAATGTGTATCCCAATTCCAATGATTTGATCATTTACTAATGTCAAGAATTCTACAAAAGAATAACTGACTTTCCCATCAAATATTTAAAAAAAAAAAAGTGTCTATACTTAGCTTAGAAAATATTTGAGGGATACACTTTAAACATCATAGGATTAAGTAAAAAATAAAATGAATGTCTTAAAATGAAGGATACCAAAACAGCAAATAATTCGAAGACAAAAAAAATATGTCTACAATACGTGTTTGTAGACATATACCAAGAAGAGGCTAAGTATATTCTTAGAGACATAAAAATACCTGAATAAACAGTAGAAATGCAAATATTGTATTACAGCAATACAGGAAAAACAGCAATTAAAGCCAGAGGTATCTGGGTTTGCTCTGCCCTGCGTAAGTAGAAACTCTTGTTCCTTCCCTTCCTTCCTCCCCTTCTTTTTCCCTGGTTATTTACTCCTTGCTTACATAGGAACTCTGTGAAACTTGTAAATTCTTGCTGTTAAAACAGAACAGCAATTGTTTTTTTGCTGAGGAAAAATCCCAACATGACAAAATGAAAGTTATCAGTACCTCAAAACTATAGCAATTTATTTCATTCTCACCTTATTTTGTACAACATTATAAGATCATAAATAAACTAAAAGGTATTTAAAAAAAGCATTTTTCTATTTTTTTTTATGGCACACCTTTTCTTGTGATACACCAGCATTAGCTTTTCCATTAACATTTGAAAGTTTCTCAGTAATAGCTCCAGGGGTCTCATTATCTTTTGGCTTGGTCTAGATCATGCTGCCAGTATTTCTGAAGCAAAAAATGTGCTTTTCCAACTGCATGAGAATGTTTTTAAATAAGTTTTTTAAAAAATATGTTTGCTTTGTGCCTTTACGTGCAACACAACCTAATGTTTTTAAAGAATGGATTCTGTTAATCAATGAGAAAGAATGTATCAATTCCTCTGTCCAAAATGCCTTTTTCAGGACAATACTGCTGTTATTAGACAACTGCTATAGTAGAGAACATACCCAGTTATTTATTACAATAATAGAGGACCTGGATGCTAAGAGTTACTCTTGTAAGTGACTAACCCATGTCAATAGTTTCTAGTTTTCTTCATCATAATAGTCAGTTCTGTCAGCAGTGCAGAATATAAACAATAACAGAGAAAACCAGATCTGTTTGAGATCTGTACCCTAAGATTTCCTTATGAGTATGGCTAGTCATCTGATTCTTTAGCATGGTAGACAAAAAGGCCATTTTTGCACCAAATTTGAAATTTTGGTCCAGGATGCAAAAAAATCCAAAATCAGTGCATACCTGAAACTGTTCAAACTTCTGTGTTCAAAGCCTAGAGTGCCATAGTCACAATTCTTGTTAAGCGCGTCTTAAGAAGCCATCTCAGTTGTCCTGTAATCCTGCTCTCAACTGAACTTCTCACCTGAACCACTTTTATTTCATTCATCCTCATCCCCAAACTTCTGCTCATACAATCAAGAAGCCGCCCCACAAATTCTTCTGCAATTGTTATCTTTCTAAACCCTGCTCTACCCTATTTGAAATCCCTTGTTACTCAAGAACCCTGTATCAGTGTGCCATCGATGTAAACTGAGGCTAAATACCTTTCAGATGCAGTGGCTCGACTCCTCCGATTCTGCTTGCCCAGGTGCTGCTACTGTCCCTGCCTCTCTAGCACCAGTCCCTGCTCTCGGTGCTGCTGTGCCTCGCTGCCTGCCTCCTCCATGACTGCCCTCAACATGGGCTCTTCCAGGGCCAGCAGCACACAGTGCTCCCTGCTGGGGACTGGGGCTCTCTTCTGTGTCAGCGCAGCCTCAGCTGTTGGACTGACAGGGCTTTAACACATATTTACTAAAATCCACCTACACAGCATCCTGAGGGCAAAAGCAAAATACATGTTTGTGAGAAAACAGGATGAATGGAATACATATTATTAATGAGTCATTACAAAACTGCATAGCAAGCAATATGTACGGTCAGATTCTGTTCCAACACTTGTTTTGGTTATTATAGGCTTGTCTTTCATCTTCCTTCTTCTTGTCTCAGTATGGTTGTTCAAATGCAATTGTTTTGTTTAAGCCTGGCAGATACATCCTATCAAGAAGTGATGATTTTTTCTTACATTTTCCCTTTCTCTGTTACTCTTTGCCATTCTCCTCCATCTCAGAGATTCCTCTTACATATACTCTCCCCTCAGTAGCTATGTTTACTCCCAGTTTGCAAGGTGAATGCGTATGAGGTTTCAAAGGAAAAGATTAGATTTATTTAATATCCCTTTAAAAGTTACTTCCACCTTTGAACTGAGTGGATTTTTTCAGATTACATACACTGCACCATGAACCAGTCACTTCAAAACTAAAAGCTTATTTCAGAACCTATCCTCCTCCAAAACTATTTAACAATTCGTTTCCATTTGATCCTTGAAACAGACTCCATAACCAAAATAACATAGACTTTCAACATTACATTTTAAACAACCAGAACTTAAGTGTTAAGAAAAAAACAAACTGCTGTGGGCACAGCTGGAAAGTCTTCTAGTTCATAAAAACCCTGCTTTCTATTTTCTTCAAAATGCTTTTACAATTAAAGTAATGCTTATACTCATTATAATCTGTTCAAAGCAGGGAATGTTCTACTCCATTGCAATACCTGATAGCAAAGTGCATTCTGTTACAAAATAATTTGCCGCTATACTTGATAGTATCTTATAGACATGAGTGTAGGGTTTCAGCAATCTCTTCTTCACTGTAAAAAATACACTGTATTAAGTTAACATAGAAAAGACAACATTGAATATGTTATTATTTCTCATAATTGCTAACATAATTGCTTCCTGACATGAAGAATTTCTTTGAGTTGTGAAAGAATATGACCTCTAACTACACATTACCCCAATGTTCACAATATAAACTATATATAAGGAACAGACTTTGGGGCAGAAAGGGTGTTTTACCTTGCAGCACAGAATTTTTCCAGTTTTTGCCTCTCCTATGCAAACAAAATGGCTGTACACGTATCAGTACATGGGTACAAAGTCCAGTCATGTGAAGTGAAACACAAGAGTGGGGGGAAGAAGGACAACACTGAAAAAGATAGTTTATACAAGACTGACAGGATTTCTTGATAAGACCCTACTTCAGTAGTACAAAACAATTTCAGCATGTTCTCATAATGGATATATAGATGTGCCTAATCAAGATGCTTATTTTAGTTTGTTACTGAAGATCTTCTGTTAAGACTTTTTCATGAATTTGCCTTTTGAAAACAAGGGCTATGCCAGAATCTCAAGTACATTTCTGCCTTCTGTACACATGGGAAGCATTCCTACAGAATATCTACATAGCAATTTTACACAAACTACACTGAAACACCTTTTAAAGTATAATTTCAGATCAGTGTTTTTCAAACATTTTCATTGGAGGCACAGGATATTTTGAGATTCTCTTTTTATAAATACTATACACTATAGCCCATCCTGGTTTCTTTAATATTAATTGACTTATAAACTATATGTGCTCCCAGAAAATGACTGCTTCCAGAAAGCCCAAGGACCCTAACATGAAAAATCATTCATTAAACTTCAAAAAGTTCTGGCTAGTTGACATATTACCTTCCTTCTTAGCTATTGTCCTCCTCACTCCAATTTATGTATTTGTCACGAGGAAATTTGATCAGGAAGAGAAAGATGGATGTCCAAAGACTTGTGACAACCACTGCTGATGAAACTTAACAGAATCTAAGCCTTACAACCTAAGTATGAAATTTTACTTTTCTTCTAGGCAAAACCTAAGAGATCACAATGACTGTGAGAAATCAAATTGAACCAAAATTTTTGAAGAGCTGCCTAAATGCAAAGCTTAAATTACATTTTTCTGTGGTTCAGGAAATCAGTACAGCTTGTCCTGAGCTTTCTCCTACATTTTTCCTCTATTTTGAAATAACATTCCACTTTAACAACTTTGAAAGAATTTTAAATTACCAACCTTTTCTCGATCTCAAATGCTGATAGGAAATGCTAGCCCTTATCTTAAGCCTTTGAAAAACTGCACTATTGTCTTGCATTTATTCAAAGCTTTAGTAAGTGAATATAAAAACCATTTTTAAAAGATCTTGTCAATCTCTCTAAAATAAATAGCCAACTACTTTTTAATCCCTTTGACTAATTATATTTTAGATTAATAATATTTTAGAATTTATTAAAAAACCCTGTATATGGACAAAAGAAATACTAGAGATACAACAGATGAGAAGCAACACCCATCAACAACAAATGTGACAAAACACATTTCTTGTGTACATACACTGCAGCTCTTAAATGCATAATAACTACTTACAGTAAATTTTATTAAAACAAATTATTATTAACATTCATTCAAAACCTTATGATTATATAAATTAGAAGAAGGTAATGATAAAAACAAGGACATGTATGACAAAATATAGATAAAATTAATGAAAAGCAGACTTGTCTGTGCAAATTAGCATGACAATTTACGGCATTTGATATGGAAAACCAAAATGCAGTGTATAAAGATCTATTCATTCTAACTATAACAGTATGCAAAAAATTACAATGAGGTAATGAGTGTAAAAATCAACATCCTTTCATATCTGAGTAGTGAATGAAGACTGAATAGAGGGGGTTTGTTTGTTTGGGTTTCTTTTCCATGTTTGATTATACATCACTAAGGGGTAAAGTGACAATTACTTGCTGAGTTCACAGCTTAAGCAGGAGTGAAAACTGAAATGCCAACAGGGAGGCTGCATTTAAGCATGGCCAACAGAGTACTACGCCACCCAGTAATGTATTCTCCAATGATCCATGTTACTTAATGGATTCTTAATAATACTTAATAATATTCTCCATTTTGGCCAACAGGTGCCTTTGTGGTTTGGGTTTCTTTTTCCACACGGAAACGCAGAGTCAGATATGAACACCCAGTCCCTTTCTTTTCTTTCATGTTAGAAACATTATTTTTTAAGGTATTTTTGACTTTTGGTCACAAATTGGGAGTCAGTACCTACCGATTTACTTATGAATGTTCATATGTATAAAAGAGCTCAATTCATTGAACTTATGGTTTTAATTAGTATTTGGGATAAAAAGGAGGAAGGATGCATGACTCAATTTTCTCAATTTTCACTGGATTTTAGTGGTAAGGGAGAGCTGCAGCAAATCAGACCCTTTGTCTCAGTTCATCAAAACATCTCTGCCAAAGTTTCAGAAGTTTAGGATTCAACTTTACCATACAACTAAATGTTCATCTACCATGTATGGTACAGTGTCTTGATAAAAACAAAACACAATACACTGCTATCTTAGCTGGCCTGGATGTTGGTGCACATGTAAATGCTTCTGCTTCCACATAAATCTGCTAATACAAACTTGTATTTTACTGAGATTCAAATGAAACATAGCAGTAACAGAGCTAAGATGAAACAAAGGGTATTTGTTAACTTCTCTTAGCATAGTGAAACGCAAGGAATATATCTAATTTCAAAGGATATTTTTGAAAGACATTTACACAGAATTTAAAGATAAAAGTTTTGCTGTTCTAGGGACTATGTACAAATTGGGTTATAGGACTCTAGAGAATATAAAAAAAACCTTCAGTGAAACAAGATGCTTAAACTTCATTCTTCAGCTTAGTCCAAAAAAACATTGGCAAGTTTCCCTCTGAAAACTGTGTAGTCATGTACGTATCTTGATAGAAAGTCCTTACATGAACTTGTAAAATCTGTGGATTGCAGAGGACTTTATACAGGTCTGAGGAAGTCCCAAAAGTGATTGTACATAGAACTCTATAACACTGTCTAAAGGTTTCGGTCTAAAGGTTTTTTTAATGATTGTGATTAACTTTTCTTAAGATTTACACATGGGAGTTCAGCTGGAAGAATGTGTTGTCTATGCCATGCAAGAAGAAAGATTCAGGTTTTGTAGTTGCTACAACCATAGTTTCTGACTATCAAATAATATTGTTCTAAGCTACTGTAAGTCATAAACAGAACATGATTTTTAAACAAAGATGGGCTTGAACAGGTAGGAAAAATATTTTTCATTTCATCTACAAGATCATTTATTTTATTTCCTGGATGTGATGAAGTCAGAAAAAGCATATGGATATTCATGTCCCCATATGTTGTCAGGTCCTCCAAGAATCAACAATCACCCAAATACTGAAAAATTGAAATCAGGCAGGGTTTTACTTTATTTCTACCAACTTCAGAAAGTTCACCTAGTTGATGCTTGGTGACAAGAATGCCACATCCTGAGTGAAGCTCTATGCCCTCTGAAGCCTGTAGGCTTTCCTCCATGATCTGCAACTCCAACATTTACCCTAAACATGCCCCATTTCATGTCCACAACAAAAGCTCAGTTTTGGTATGGCACATTAGGATATATAGCCATCTTAATATTAAAAGTCTTGTTAATAGCTTTTGGAAAATTGTGTTAGTCTGATTTTTCCAGATGAGAGCATAACTATTAGCATAAAAAGGAAAAGTCAGTGAAAAACAGATTACGAAGCCAGGCTGTCAAACACAGTCATTAATATAATACTTATTCCCTTCTGCTTGTAGCAGTCACTGATCTAAATGACACATACAACATTCCTGAAACAAGGATACAACAATTCATTCTGCAGCACAGATTCGTGCAGATATCTGCCTCATTAGCCTTGCAAGATAGTAGTTTTTCATACTTAAAAATGCGTAAAGAGATTTTGAACTGTATGAGGAGGTAATAAGCTCTTAATGGGGTAGAGATACTGCCCCTGATCTCTTTCACTGAAGCATGATACTGACTCTTCTTAATTAGTGAAACTACATATAGAAGTGAACCATAAAGAAAATTTTAAATGGGACAAATAGCAACAAAAGTTTTGAGCTTGGCACAACATGGGGAAAAACCTGACTAATCAGCAGTAAGAACCTAACTACGGCAAAGACAGTAATTCAGCTCTTATGTTAATTCAAAGGTGTTGATCTATCTGGGTCTAAGAAGGCAAAAAATCACTTTTTATTTGTCTTTTATAAGCCCCACAGCTACAGTAAATGTATTTGTGTGGTGGACTTCTCTAAGGATACAGAAAACCTAAAATGCTGAAGAGCAATTAAAATATGAAAAGGTTCAGAAAGCATAACTTACAACAGTAGATGAAAGAAATTCAATTTGTGAAAGTGAAAAAAAAAAGAAGAGTAGAGGAAAAACACAGAATATCCTTGCAAAGTAAAAGTTTCACTGGAAGATTCAGAAAAATTTAAGCATAATGTCTGGACACATATTTTAAGCCTATACAATTCTGTTGCAGAGAATTCATTTAGATCTTGAACGTCTCTTGTGGTCGCACCTATACATAAATACATGAAATGGAAATAGAGGACTCTTTCAAACCTGCAGTGTCACTGTAAGCAATCACTCACCTCCACAGAACTCAAGGTGAAATGTTTGAGATTACCTGATTAAGTGGAACTAGCTGTCTTAGGGAAAAAAGTCAGGGCCTGACTGGCTTGACAACACTTGAACTTCACTACATTCTTCTAGGTAACTCTAGTATCTAACCATCTAACTGTATTAGTATTTACAAGTGGTGTTCCTTGTTTTATAAGTTTTATGAAAACAAGTGTCTTTTGCTGGTTTTCTACAAAGAACATTTCAATTGAAATATCTAAAATAAGAAATAAAGCAACATCACTCCCTTATCTATTTTGTTACAATACACAGAACCTAATTCCTTAAAAAAGGTAAATATAAGCTGAACTTCAATTAAGTGGACAGGCTAGTGATGGAACTATTTCCTCACCCAAAGATTATTCAGTGCCTTACATGGTCACAAAGCCTATTTGCCATTGCCTGTACACAAGAGCATGTTCTGAGGTATACTACCAGTATGTCTGTGTGTGTACATGGGAGAAGGAGAACAGGGCAGTAACTTCCGGGGCAAGAGAATTCAAAAACTTGAATTATGACTTGGTTGGGAGGCACACTAACTCCAGCAGCCAAGGAAAAGTGCCAACTCCCACAGTAAGGAACAGCCTGGATGTCTAATACAACTCTGCTGCAATGGGGACCCATGAGCTGGCTAGCTCTGTTTGGCATTGCCCCTTCTCCTCTCTGCACCGTTTCTGCTTCCCAATCAGAGTTGCTATTTTTCATACATATCAGTACAGTACTATTGCTTTTCTGCCTAGATAATTCTAGAAGCTGAGAATCACTGCAAAGAAAGAAAGGTCACAGTACTGTATGATAGCTGGCCTCCAGCTGACTCCCTGCACTTCCCAGGCTGTCAGCATGTTCCTCCTGATCATGTAGCCATTCTGGGCTGAGTGTCAGCCAGTTCATTTATTTCTATTCAACTCTTCTGGATAGATACAAACTTTTAAGGGCACACAGTCACAGAGTAGGCAGAATGTCTGAGCTCTGGAGATTCAACTCCCCAGCTTGTTGCATCCCAAGCAGGGAACATGCATATAAAACCTAAACATGAAGTAGCATCACAGATCAGTGGCTCAGAGACCTTGTGACCCTGAGAATCACAATTCCTTCTCTCTCTTCTCCATCTGAAGATCTAATTACCACAGCCTTTGAAAAGTTTGAACTTTGGAACTCACCACTGGAAGGATGACTGCATTCAGTTTCACCTTTACTTCCAGCAACAAGTTACAGATGACTTGCTCAGAAAGGTTCACAAAATGTGCATTCCACATGACAGTAGAAATACAAAACTTTTTGATTAATCTGTAACAATCAAACTGTAGTAAAATTAACAAAAAAAGCAATTAAATCCACATGCAGACAAGACATAAAACCAAGTTAATAACAAATATTTTAGATTCCAGTAACAATGGGAACTTGGATAAATAAATGGAAGTTATACCATAACAAAAAAAAGTTACAGCAAACCCATATCACAGGGAAAATAAAGCAGGATACAATACTTCTCATAATTTCTGGGGATGCCATCCCTTCTGTTCTAATCTTCCTGACGGTTTAAGGCTAAGCAGGACCCAGCCATTAGGCACTTCAGGATTTTCATTGCAATGACACTGCTAATTACCTGACCAGTTTGCCTGTGTGCAGCCAATATTTTATTAGAAGACCAAAAAGTATGTCAACAAGCTAAGTCACAATCCATAAAGGAGAGTAAATGGTTCTCAGTGACTTTAACGAAAGCAATAAAGGCCCTAAAGCATGATATTAAGGCTTCCTTTCCCATTTTTAGAAATTTTGTTGTTGTATAATTCCACCAATAAATACAGCAATTGACATCTAAAAACGAACCTTTCTAGAGTGCCTCATCTAAATTTACTGAAATGAACACATGTGAGTAACACATATCTTCATTCTCCTGCAGCTTAACACATCATCTTCCTTGCCTTTTTAACTATCTCACTTGTAACTGGCTGTCAATACCAAAATCTAGAAAACACATGGCTCTCCTATCCCTGCTTGCTTGGCTGAGAAAACTCATGTGGTTGATTAAAAGAGCATATACATCCTTTTAACCTGTGTAATCAATAAAACATGACCTAGATCAGGAGTTCCATGGTACTGTTTAATTGCTTTAATACATATGGTAATCTTCCATTTTTTACCTATAAAAACATGAATGGAAACAATACAAGTCACCTAATTCATAATCTTAAAGTGAAAAGCTCATCTTTGGTGATATCCAGCACTGAGAGGGGTTTCATTTTCTGAAAGCTTATAGGCTTAACTATAGCAACTGCTGAGAATCTCAGCCGATACATGAATTTACATTTAATTCTAAATCATTCGAAGTAATTTGTTACTAATAGTGGGTTTAACAGCTGTTTATGTAAATAATTTAAATTACTGGATTTATTCAAGTCTTTTGATTCTTTTTTAATATTCAAACCAAAACGGATTATAATCTGTTTATCCTCTTTGTCAAGGTGCCTGCAGAAAAAGAAAAATAAAGTCAGTAATTTCTGTGTGAAACACATAGTGCATGATGCTCCTATGAGTGGCATAAAAAACAGGTAAGTGAATCAGTGCTTCCAGCACAATATGAAATAGTGAAATAGGAAACTGCAATTATTGAATCAAATAATTGATTTGATAATCACAAGTACTACCTATGAAAACACGCATATTCTGAAGCTTTTACTCTCCAAGAAAGAACTCAGTCACATAAATTTCACTGAAGTACAAAACTTCCAGCCTCAAAGTAAAGAAAACTCAAACAATATAGAAGTTAAAAAAAGGTTAAGAGGACCTAGTACATAAAACATTGTGTTCCATACTTAATGACCCCACAGCACCTGAGTATTTTCACTTTATCTCACATTCAAGAACAATAAAACCAATTAAATTTTAACACATTATTACAAAACCAGAGAAAATAGATTTGTTTGGCCTTAAGTAGGGCTACCTAAAGGCAGCTAATTTACAGGTGTTTAAAAACCTGGACATTCAGATCTATATGTACCTTACAACACCATATATCTGCTTTGGTGTACGCCCAGATAGCAACATAGATTTTAAAATGTACATGAAGTTAGAATTGTGTTCTTCAGACTTTCCAGGATTCAAGTCCAGTTACAGAATTACATCTTAATTATTACATCCAAGTTGATTCTTCTCAATATGCATACATCAGGTTTGTACGAATATAATTAATTCTTGGTGTTTCTTATTACTGTGCCTCAACTATAATATGCTTCCCACAACCCTGAAGTCACTGAAATCCTTATAACTCAAAGACAACTTCAAATAAGTAATAAAAAATAGCAGCAAATAAAAAAATCAATTCCACAATTCTTAGTATCAAATTCTCACTCCCTTTCAAGAAAAAAAATAACCCAACAACAAAACCAAATACTACTGGTGAGTCATTAGATACAGATATTTAAGACAGTTCAAATGAAACTTACACCAGCACAATTTCTTACTTATGTATCTAGAAAATTATGCTCTACCATGTTGCTTGGACTTTTACTTAATTTCATTCTATTAGTAAAAAGGCTTAATCACACAGAATAAACCTAAACAGTTTTCTATCTTGGGAAGATTTTCCTGTGTTTGAACACAGCTTTGAAGAATCAAGTAAGCTAACATCACACTGATTATCACTGATGAGCCAGAGCAAAGCAAAGCAAATTGAGGTCACCAGCCTGTCAGCAATGTGACAGTCTTGAAACGTGTACCATAGGATTTGTAACCCAGACCATTTAACCCTAGAAATGTTCAGCTTCTGTATTACACTTTAATTCTGTGGGCTATTTTCACAGAGATTGCCAATGACTTATTTACACTTTAAATACTCACAAGTTTTGTAAAACCCTTGTCTTTTCAGACAAATAGGGAATTTAAATGCTAAAAATAGTGAGTTTTCCCCTTTTTAGGAGCTAGAAGCAATGGAAGTTATGATCAAATACTTTTTTCTAATTAGAACAATAAATCAAGGTAACATGAAAAAGCTACATCTGTTGAGTAACAAATAAAGGTTTTACTCCCTCACCATACATACAATTAAAAACCAGATTTTTATAAGATTTGCTAATTAGAAAGTTAATAAATCTACCTCAGATAACACTGTCATACTACATCATTACCCATCCTCTTTAAATATTTGTCTCTTACAGCAGAATCCCATTCTTTCTTAGGACAGCACAACAGTACCCTTATAACTATTGAAATTACTATTTTTTCAATTCCCTTTAAGAGGTTAACACCTTTTTTGACCTACTGTATTTTTGATTTTACCCCTACTGATTCTAGCTATGCTCCCAACTAAGTGTGCTACAAAAGAAACTATAAATGTTTGCTGGAAACAAAACTGGAATATTGACTTGTTGCACAGCGTTTATTGCAGAAACAAAACAGCCGTGGGCATTTTTAATACTCATATATTGTAAGGTTACAAAAAAAACCCCTCAAAGCTCAGGAGCCATTTTCTTAAATCTACACAGGAACCAATTTCACAACTACACACAGATTTTTAAAAAATATTGAAGGTACTGCACACAATCCTTTTCCTAGCCTACACAAACAGGGCCTAAGCAGCATTATCATTACAGAATGAGACAAGATAAAAAAGAGAAAACCAACCCAAAACTCAAAAACTGTTGTTTAAAAGTCAAGTTTTATTATTCAAAATGTACAAGTAAAGGCCAAGGATGTTTTATTTTTCTTATAGAAGGTGTTAGGAGAATTCTGTGTCTACATTTCACATAAATGTAGGGTACATGTACTTGCAAGGGATAGGCTTTGGGGCCAGGTAAGATGATTAACAAGCCTAAATTAAAATTCAAATATAGCTATGTGATACCTACAGTTCAGGCTTTAAAAGCCCCCACTAACTTGCTAAAATGGTGAAACGTTGCCAGTTAAAATGAAGGCGCTGTTAGGAAAAAGGAATTGCTGCAAAGCCTACTTACAAATGAGACAGGACTCCCCCTAGGTGAAGCTGCAACTAACCAGTGTCCTCACACAGAATGGCACAGCAGTACACATCTTCCAGCCAGTATGTCACCTTGGGAGCCTGAAACAGCTCTTTTCATGTCTGCCTCTGCAACTGGTGCCTCAGTGATCCCGATGCCCAGTGGAGAGTTACCTGCATGAAAAAACACAAAAGGGAAAAAACTGATGAGGTTGGTGCCCTCTTTCCCTCCCAGCTGTCCAGTGAAAATCGGATGATGTGTCCCCGCAGGAAGACTTTGTTTCAACTTAAGAACAGTCTTGTTTCTTGAACTTCAGAACTTCTTGAATGTTTCATAAAAAAACATACAACACCCAAACCAGCTTTCAATTAACCACTCTTGCACTCAGCAACCTGTAAGAGATAGATTTACACCTTCCTCACAGAATTTTTTTCTCTCCATTACTTTACTCATCCCTCACAGTTTCATACAGATTTACACCTTTTTGTTTCAACTATAGTCTAGTGAAATAGTACCTCTGCACAGGCATGCAGAAGAGACACTGGCCTAACATGTCAACTTGATGTCATGTTCTGTATTTCCCGCCAGCAGCACCAAACAGGATTTAGGAATCACAAAATAAGTCTGGTTGCAAAGGACCCGCCTGGGCCAACCTCCCTGCAGGGTCATCCCAGAGCACACTGAACAGAATTGCATCCAGATGGCTTCCAGAGAGGGAGACTCCATAACCTCTCTGGACACGAAGCGCTATTCTGCAAGATAAGAGGCCCCAAGAAGAAAAATAGACTTTGGTTAAGAAGTACAACAAGCCAGAACAAAGGTCCAGCAGGCCCAGGCAGGCCCGGCCCGGCCCGCCCCGGGTGCTGCTATAAACCGCCGCCCTACCCCGGCCTCCCCGTTAGGTTTCCGGCCTGGCCAGTCTCGCACCGGGCGGGCTCCATCTGCCTCTGCTCCTGCCGCACTCCGGCTGCTCTGCCTCGCCATGGCCGCTTCCTCCTCGGCGGCCGCGCTGCGCCCGGTCACTCACCTGATCTTTGACATGGACGGGCTGCTGCTGGGTGCGTAGCCTGAACCCCTCTCCCCTCCACGGCCAGGTCCCCGCTCCGCTCCGCCTCGCGGAGTGGGTCCCACCCCGCCGCCGGGCCCGGCCAGCCTGCCCCGAGTGCGAGGGGCCGTAGCCGGCGGCGAGCAGCCTCTTTCCCTTCCCTCCTTCACCCCTCCCCTCCGCCTCCCGCAGTCGGAGCAGCCCAGGCTGTGGCTGCTGGTTCACGGCCTCGCTCCGGGCGAGCAGCCAGAACGCCCTGGGCAGCGCTGCTAAAACCGGAGTGAAGGGATTAAAGTAACAGGAAACGAGTTAATTCCTTCTCGCGCTTCCGCTACTTGCTGCCTTTCGGGGGCAGATTTCGCTTTAATTAAAGTAACAGAGCAGGGTACTCGTACTTAAAGTAAGAGAGCGGGGTACTCGCTCTGGCTGGCGGAGGGCTGAGCGAGGCCGGGGAGGCTGCGGCTGGCAGCCGGGAAAGGTGGGCAGGGAGCAGGACGGGCAGGCAGCCTGGGCTCAGGGACCCCGGGTCGGGCACTGCCAGAGGCCGGGAGCAGCGGATCGCGGAGGGCTGGACAGCGCTCGGCAGCGTTTAGAGCTACCCTGCCTGACTGATGAGCCTGGACAGCACTCTGATAGTTTTCACTTAGCTTTGGTATCAGTAGACTTTCTGCTTTGCAGGGTTACTCTATAACTTGATGCTTCCCGTGCTGCAGCTCGGTTAAATCTTGATGTTTGAATAGTCGCTATAATTGGGACAGTTTTTTAACTTTGCTCTTAACTCTTCGCTGAATCAGGACCCTCTGGTGAGACATAATGGGATATTTTGGCATGTGACTTAGTTATTGAAATAGTTATTGTGAGTTATCACACAGGACGCACTTCTGGATATGGGTGAATTCCTAAAAGGTGTGAACTGGAGATGTGTGCCTTCTTTCTGCAAAACCTGAATTTTGCAGTTTCTGAGAAGACTGCTCTGAAGTCTGATGAATTACATTGTGTTTCCAAGAAATGTGCACTTTTCCCTCCCTCAGGGCTGTAAGAGGTGAATGTGATCCACATTTACCTTCTAAAACAAAAATGGCTATGCTATGCAAAACAGTGATTGAGTTGCATTTAGATTTTAATTGTATTTTCAACTTCATCACTGGACTCTCAGCCTGGGGATACACACACACACACACACACATATATATATGTGTGTGTGTGTAATCCTATTATCTAGAACCAATTATTTTAATTTTATTCTTAGAAGTTTCAGGAAAGCTTTTTTTAGTTACTACAGCTCTTTGTCAGAAGCTGGAAGTCTCCTTCACACAGACAATAGTCACCTTAACAGGACAGTATTTGTAATGATACATGTATGTGATTACTTCCATTTTAAAAAGTTACACATAAAGTATGTATTGTATTCCAGAAGTCTTTCAGCTGCAAGGAAATAGACTGAAAATACTCCTCAAGTATCTTCCAGTACAGAGTAGTAAAAGTTACACTACGTTGGTGATTTTCACTATGTGCACTTCATTTCAGAGGACTTCAGTATGTTTCAGCCTCTGAATACTATGAAATGTTTAACATTCTTGGTGAGTCTGTTTGTTTCATGATAAGCAGTGACCCTTGGGAGGCAAAAAAGCAGTCAAGAGATTGCTTGGACTTTCCCAAGGTTTCTAAATGTTTCAAGAAATGTGGAGTAATTTGGGGGAAAGAGTGATACAAGGCACACAAAATTAGATTCCCTCTGCCCAACCTGCCTACTGTAAATCTTCTGAATGAGACAAATGTTTCCATTGATGTTAACCTACATAAGAACCCCATAATTTTCTTATGAAATTTTTAGTGTGCCACATAACGTTCATTGGAGGTGATAAAATGAATAACATACATATTTTAAGAAGCTGCAGAAATGGCCCAAATGTACTTCCTTTAAAAGAGCACAAATAAAAGTTTTGGTATTGAATATCTGTTATTGCTAACTTTTTTCAGTGGTTGGGTGATTGCATAGTTTAGAATCAAATTTAGAAGTTTGATTGCAATTTTTAGAATCTGAAGCTTCAGGTTTTGCAAAACCTTTCCTGCATAAAGTAGTGTCTGCAAATGTACATGAGTATTTTTAGATGTTTTCACCTAAACCCTACTGATTTTATGGAACAAATATAAATTGATCTATAAATGATGAGAAAAATTGAGCATTAAATTCATTGGATGCAATGTGCCATGAACTTGCTTTCTGTAATTGACATACTTCTAATTAAGGAAGGTAGGATATCTTCTGATAAAAAGATTTCCAAAATCTTTGTGTGCGAGGTGTATGAAGTCCTTAAATGAGGTCGGAGATGTTCGCAAGGTTCTTGACTTTGGAAACAATCCAAGTGTTACCCTATAAAACCTGCAGCCTATACTTCACTGGCTAATCCTTGGCTGTGTGGAAGTGTTGCTGAGTCTGATCAACTGATATTTTACTTTCCCCCCTCCCTCTAACATAATTGAGGCTGATTAAGTTGTCCTTGAGTTGCACCTTGATGTATCAGCTTACTTTCAACACAGAAGTTACTTCCTCTGAGCTGCCTGTGGAAGTCCTTCAACCCTTTCATTTAGAGTCCTTCTGTATATTGTTTCAAAGGTTATCTAACACCAGGGGTTTTTTTTTTGCATTTCTAATCAATGCAATCTACTCTTCCCTTTTTTTTTTTTTATTACCTAATCTTTCCCTTTGAGCTCCTGGATGGAATCTTAGGGGTGATCACGCACTGTTCACCCGTCTGTCAGCCTCCCTTTTCTGCATTTCTAATCAACGCAATCTGCCCTTCCTTTTTTTTATTACCTAATCTTTGCCTTTGAGCTCCTGGATGGAGTCTTAGGGGTGATCACGCACTGTTCACCCGTCTGTCAGCCTCCAGCAGGCTCCTCTCCATAGGGGTATGTTGTGTGACGCCTCCTCCCAAGGTCAGGCCAGCTCTGTGCTGCCATGTGCTTCTGCAGGTGCGTGCCACAGCCTGCAGCTCAACTCCATCCCACCCCTTCCCAAAGCATAAGTATCATTGAGTCCAGCTCCTTGCAGGACTTCTGAAAAATAGAACAGAGGACTAAGAGCCTTGTCCAAGTGCTCCTTGAATTCTGACAGCCTTGGTGCCATGATGACTGCTTGGGGGGGAGCCGGTTCCAGTGACTGATCATCCTCTCATGCAGCTTCATTAATTATCATAGTTGATTAGTGGTGCACTGTGTAGTAGAAACCAGAGGAAAAGGAATAACTACATCTTCATTTTTGTTGTACTGCTGTACTTTCTCAAAAAAAAACCCACCCAAAACAACAACAAAAAAAAAACCACAAAAAACCTCCCAGCACTTCAATTAAGGCATTACATTTCTTAAGTTAAATTTCTACTTGATTTCCTACAAGAAATTACATTAAAAGCGCAGAATAGTAGATTGCTTTTTCTTGAAATGTGGTAGTCTGTTCCTACAGAAGACTACTGCTAGTGTGTGGTCTAGTTAAAAATGTTAAACTATTTAAAATATCAATTAATTAATTAATTAAACATACTAATAAATTAATTTAATATAATTAATTAAATATTTAATAATATTGAAAATATTAAGCCTACTTAGGCACTTACCCAACACATAGTACAGGGTTAACAGATAATAAGAATAACAACAACAACAGAAACTTGAGATATTTGATTCCTAAATAAATCCGGTTGTTACAGCTGTACAGTTTGGATCTTGACATTTTAGCATATTGTAAAAACATACAAAATCAGTGCTAAAGATAGAGAAGGAAAAATCTATTTAACTTGTGCAGAATATAAAACTAGAGTAATGCCCCCAGGATCTATCATATAAACTTACTGCGTAGGTTTCTTTTTAAACTATGACAAGTAGTTTTGTTATATAATTCTAGCCAATAGCTACCCTACTACCAAAACACAAATAGGATTGAATGTTGCCTTTGATGATCTGTGCTTAAACTTATAGGGGACTGAAAACATTTAAAATTCTCTACAAGCTACATGTGTAATGTGAAAAACACTTTCACTCTCTTGTGAAAATTAAAAAAGTTTATTAAAGGATGATAGGACATAAGGACCATAAAGCAAAGGTTATTATGGCTGGGTGCATCTTGACACTGATCTAAGACCACACCATCACCTCCAGGGATACCCCTTAAATACCTTTTCCCTTACATCAGTTTGTAGCATGTTCATAGACCCCTATGCATATCCATAAACTAGTTGATGGTTTCCAGGAACTATTTTACATGGCTCCTCCTTGGGTCTGCCTTTTTAGAGCATGCATGTTTCTTCGCTGTGGTTCTGGCTCCTTCTCTTTTATCACTTCTAGTTTGGGCCTTGCTCCATACTTTCTTGAAATGGTGAGTGCTGATAGTTGGCATATCTGTAGCAGGTGTCCTTATCCTGTGTTCATTGGATGTTATCCCACCCAAGCAGGCATTTTAACACAAGCATAGCTATTTCACTACTATGTCTAAGCTTAATTAACAACAGAAAAACAAACGATATCTTTATAGTAAAGTTACTTTTACACCATATATATACAATCTATTTTAATATTTGTAAAAAGCCAATATTATAATATGTATCAATAACATGTAACAGTAACCTTTCCCAAATGAACTTAGGAAAATGGCTGCAAAGATAAGATATTTCTTAGCATTGTGCTTAAAGCTGAACTAGAGCTAAGTTAACATGCAAAGAGCATGATACTTTAGTATAGGAAGTTTAGTCATATATTTATTTTTGTTTAAATTTCTCCTAGGAGTAGGGATTGTTTTATGTAAATTATTATCCTTGTCAGTGCCCCTCAGTGTTAGAAAAGAGTACCTTAATGTGAGATAAATCAATGTGTTCAAATATGAGAGAAAGTTCCTAAAGCAGCTTAGTTTTGCAAGATAACTTCACCATAACTAAAAGTCATGTTGGACTGCACAGGTACAGGTATGCCAGCTGGTGACCATTTCCAGAGGAATGGAATGTAGTTAAAGCAACTGGGATCAGAAGTTGCTGCTTTTATAGCCACTGTCTCCTTTGTGTGAAGACCTCTGTGTTTTGTGCCACTTCTAAGACACTTCTGCACGACTGGCCAGACAGGTCATCTCTGGTCTATAATATAGAAGAAATTAGCTTGCAGATAAATTCGTTGTAGTGTTGTGAGATTCACAAGAATTTCAGTATGTTTTCTTTCTCCCCATTGTTACGTACTCATTGTCACAAAGCCAGAAGTCAAAAATGTACTCTTACTTTCATTTTATTGCATGTCGCCTAGGAGATGGCTGTTACAAGAAAACTGATGAGAGTTCTGTGCTGGAGTTTGCTTATGTGCATGCTGTCTTATATTTAAAACAGCTTCCTATTTCTTCT